GCGTGCACGTGCGTGCGTGCACGTGCGCGCGTGCGTGCGTGTGTGTGTGTGTGTGTGTGTGTGTATGCATGTATATGTATTGCTTCTGATGCTTCTGTCTGTCTATGTCTCTGTCTGTCTGCCTGGCAGCCGGCCTGGCTGGCTGACTGTCTGTCTCACTGTCTGTCTCTCTGTCTTTCTGCCTGCCTGCCTGCCTGCCTGTCTGTCTGCCTGTCAGCGCGGATGCATGGATGTATGTAAAACTATATGTCTACAACCTATGTATATGCAGATGTAGATTATGTCTATGTGCAGGTAAATGTGTATGTGCATGTCATATTATATGTATGTGAGTGTATGTGCATGTGTAAGAATGTCAGGCTGTACCGCACCAGAGTCTCCGAGAGAGTGGAGTAAGTCCAAGAAACAACCATGAAGGTAGTCGCCGTGCTCAGAGTGTACACTACGATACTGATACAGTGTCATATAGCATGTTGCGGTAAAACATATTATATCACAGTCCATGGTACGAATGTTGCACAGTTAGCCACTCTCTGCCATTCTTCCATATATCCTCCCACCAGCAACACGCTTTGCATCTCTACGTGAGTTGCACGGAGCGCACCTCTTTCTGCATCCTGCGAGACTGTGACGGCATGCGAGCAGCAAGAGAGATGAGTCCAACTGCTTGCAACCACGACAAAGCAAGGTCCTCCCGAGATCTTGGAAGGATGGAAACCCTGCCGGCCCACTTGGTGCCTGATGTTCATGTATTCATATATATATATATGTATGTATATATTTATGTATATTATACATATATATATATACATATATATATGTATTTTTACACATTTTATATATATATATATATTTATTTTATTTATTTAGTTAGTTATTTATTTATGTGCATGTCTGTGTGTATATTATATATATATATATATTATGTACATACATACACATATATATATATGTGTGTGTGTGCATGTACATATATATATATATATTTATTTATTTATTTATATGTATATGTATGTATGTATGTATGTATATATAGAGCGAGAGATGAAACAGAGATCATAGATAGTATAGAAGGAACTTACTCGTCACCATAGCTTTTCATAGATGGCAGACGAAACTGGCCTGGCGAGGCAATGTGTTCCCCGCGCCTGAGAACGGAGAGCGGCGGCTTCACTAAATCAAGAAGGGTTGAGGGGTTTAGGGTTTAGGGGTTTAGGGTTTAGGGGTTTAGGGTGTAGGGGTTTAGGGTGTAGGGGTTTAGGGTTTAGGGTTTAGGGGGGCTCTGAGGATCTTGCTCGCTGTTCCAGACTCTGCCCGGCTCTGATCTTTGGAGGCCTCATGGGCAGGGAGGCACCATCACAAACGGCCTTCCACTCATCCTCCACCTCTCGTGCCGCCGCTCCAGCAGCTGGCTTACGCAGATCTTCTTTCATTCCCTGCCACAAAGAACACGTTCGGGGCCGCTTCAGCTACTGCAAGTAAGGGCTTTGAGCATTGGCCTTCACCTCAGGATATGCTGCAGCATCCGCCTTCATGCAAGAAGCCGGCCGGTTCGCGACACAGACCACCGACGCTGCATTCAAAGGCAGCACCTTTGTCGGCTGCGCATTCGATTTCTGGAGGTAGCCGAAGTCCTCGGGCCGCGATTTTTGGTGGAGGCCGAGGCTCCAGAGGACCGGCAGATAGGCTTGCAGCAGGCAGGCCCGGTGGTGCCATGGGCTCCTGCTCCCATGTGGGACATGGCATCCGGAGAAAGGAGAGTGCATTTCAATGAGGACCTTGCCTTCAGCTTCACCTCCACTTGCTCAGTGAGGCTTTGATGCTGCTGCCGAAGCTCCTGGCCAGTCACTCCATGCAGGTGAAGATCCAAAGCCCCAAACCCTAAACCCCTAAACCCTAAACCCCTAAACCCCTGAACCCCTAAACCCCTAAACCCTAAACCCTCTTAGGATAGGGTCTCTAAGGACTCTGATCTTTGGTGCTGGTCTTAGGCTTTCCCCGCTTCTTCGGCCTCCTGGGCTTGTACGAGGCCATCCTCGGTCGTAGCCACACGCTTCTTGGCCTCGCGAAAGGATCTAGTAATAGCCATATTAATCATAATCATCATCATCTTATACATGATGGCAAGCTATACGCAACTATGGTATACTATAGCGGTTTGCAAAATGTAGACCAGCCCGTCGCAATGCCACCGACGAGGCCTCCTCGAGCTCTTTGAGAGCGGACCGCGCTGCCATCTGCTGCTGCGAGCTGAGAGGGACGAGCTTTTCGTACCTTTCTCATGGCAGAGCAAGAACCAAACCGCCTCCCCAACAGAGCATCAAGGTCGGGTCACTCTGTGCTGACGATGGTGCCACTTGTTGACATCCGGACCTGCGGAATATCACGCCCCGAGTCGCCCCGAACACAGCTTATCTTAAAAGCCTCGAAACAAGGAGGTTGGACATCCATCTGCACCTGTTGCTCATGTCACACCATCTAAACCTGCGATGCCTGAGAAAAGCAGCAAGAAGCCGTGGGCACCATGCTGAGTTCACAGAAGCCTTTGCCCCGTCGCACTGCCATGTCGCCTGCACAACTCGAAAGCTGGAGACGACCGCAAGACGGAAGTTGCAACATGCGTAGTCGCCTAGCTTCCAACGCACGTTCGCAGTGCTGGCGCCGGCCTGCTCGAGTGCCGATCACAAGGATCTTTTGCCGCCACAGCTTTGCTACATGCGCCTCTATTTTCCGCCGAAGCTCCTCCAAGGCAGTCTGCTTCTCCTCGAGACTCGAGGAGGCGCTTTCTGCCTGAGCCGGGGCACCAATCTCAAGATCTGCGCAAGCAGCTCCCTCTGCACCTGCTGCTGCAGCATGTTCACCCGCTTCACCGACCGCTCCACGGCATCCTGCAGACTTCACGCTCCGGCGTCGCTCCACGTCGCCGCGCGTCGAAGGCGCTTGCGCGACTTTCACATCCCTGACAGACGGCCTTGAGCTCTGCAAGGCCGAAGAGAGAATTCATGTCTTGCTTGCCCTGACAAGACATCCAAGGCTACAAAAAGCTGAATGCAACAGTTCTGAGCACCTTGATGCCACCCTTCCGGGCCATTAGGTCGTCCCACACCTCAATTTCTTTCACCCCAGACCCCAAACCCTAAACCTGGACCACACTTTCTTGCACCGATTCGTCCAAACACGGAACGGATGCCAGGGCCTAAGCCTTGTTTGCCGCATCGGCGAGCCCGGAGAAGCCCGCCAGGTCAGTGTCTTCGTCTTCGTCCTGCTTCTTCCGAACTCGGGACCCCCGACTATCATTAATACAAGTAGGATCCTATCATTAAGTACAAGTAGGATCCTGTCATGAAGTACAGGTAGGATCCTATCATTAAGTACAAGTAGGATCCTATCATTAAGTACAGGTAGGATACTTGTGAGAAGGACACTGAAATATTCACTCGCGTTTCTGGCACCCTCGAGCTGCCTGTGCCGTGCTCGACGGGGACGTAGGAGCCTTGCACACAGGAACTCGAAAACTCGAAAACCCGAACCAACCAGACCTGCAGTTCAGGGGCCTAGAGTTTAGGGCAGAGCCGTGGAGAGCCCCTCTGAGGCTTAGGAAAATGGGCGCTGGAACCCTGCCGCATACGAGGTGGTCAACGTTTAAGCCTTCTTCGGATTTGGTTCCAGAGCCGGGATACACCTCGGCAAACACATCGCGGAGCTGCACCAGCAGCGATATAGCCAGGTGAACTGTGAGTCCAACTGTATGGACACAAATCCACGTCTGCGCGGTTCAATCACTCCAACACCCTGAGAACAAGATTTCCAGATGCCAGCGAACGCGCGACAGAGCGGAAACTGTCGGATGCTGATTTACCTGCGCTCCGTCCCAAACCGGCGGTTCCGCCTCTGATTAACAAGATGATTCATAATGACTGATGATTCAGAACTTCAAGGACGCTCCCAATGCCAACCTTAATATTGCCTTTTTTGCCCCAGCCTCACGCACTCTGAGGACTCGACGTTGGTGCCGGGGCCTGCTTTGCTGCTAGCCAGACCAATGCCCTTGGTTGAGTCGCAGCGAGCAGCGGTCGCCCTGTGAAACTGAGAGTGTTTTGGGGCAGCGGCGGGCGAGGCCGCGGCACCGTTCAAGCCACCCAAGCCCTTGGGCCCACCCTGAGCTGCACTGAGATCTGCCATTCGCATGATGCCGGGAATCTGGGCCGCTGACCGCCAGCCAAGTCTCTGCAGCTTTGGCAGCATCTTTGGGTTGCGGAGCGGCCTGGCCCCATCATGTCCGTAATCCTTCGTTCCCAAACGATCCAGCTGCTGGCATGGGTAGGTGCACTTCTTTTCATGGCTGGCAACTCGATCGTTTGCGAGCAGAAGATCTGGATGCCCAGATGCACGGCTGGTCCTTGCTGCGCTTTCGGTATGAGTGAAGACATGCTGATGAGAGCGTCATGCACATGGCACAGGAGTTCGGACTGGGTGTGCGACAAACATCGACCACGACAGGCCCGTGAACGAGCGTCTGCACAGACATGAAACTGCAGCGCAACAAGGCAAGCAACCTTGCTCCTCATGCAAACGGGCGCTGTTCCGAAACTGCATGCTACATCTCTTCGCGGTAAGAACCCTAGTGGAAAAACAAATTTCGAAATGAAACTTCAATCCAAAAAAACTCATCATCTGACGTCGATCTCAGCATCAGGCTCTCTCCTGTCGGCCACCTCAGATCGCTACAAAAACCCGCAGCAATGCACGGACCCGAATCATTGTCAATGCTTTCGTCAAACAAGATTGCACGGGTCTTGGGTCATCTTGGGTCCAGTTCAGTCCCGCGACTGCCGCAGTTTGCAGCATTGATCAAGGTTGTCGAGACGGCCCTTGGTGCTCCAGACATCAGAAACAGCAAGCTCACCGATCTTCTAGAACCCGCACCGTGCAGAGGTGCTGACTTGGAAGAATGTCTCAGCATCACCGCCCCTGCAAACAGAGCTGGCATCAGCAGCGCGGAACCAATGAGGGACTCAGAGGCAGCCCGGCCAACCTCGAGCAAAGTGTATATGCCCAGACACTACGAGCTTTGGCTGAATCGTGCTCACGGCCTGCAAGGGTCTTCGTTCGATTCCTTACACCTAAGCCGGAGCCTCTAAACCGACAAACAGAGCTTCACGGCTCTCCTTCAAGAGAGCGGGGCATCCTTTGTCACCGTCTGCACAACCTTTCGCAGGCCCATGAGCCAGCAAAACATCCTCGGACGCTCAGATCCGTCAATCCAGTTCCAAATCCCCATGTCCGTTATTGCTCCCTGCATGCAGGAGGCGGTGCCCTCTGAAATTTGGTCGAAGTAGGGATTGCCACCTGAGCCTCAGCAAAACAGCACTTCAACACCCTGAAGACTCCATGCATCTCCTCTTCCCTCCCGCTTCGGAGTCTCGGACAAGGCCAGAAGAAGTCAGTGCCGAAGAAGCGGAGCGGCGCTTCGGAACCTGGGACCTGCTGGACTTGCACTTGCACTGAATCTCTGACACGCTGCTTTTTCTAACGGAGCCATAAGCAGCCCTCGCCCTCATGTCTACACAACGGCCTCCAGGTCGTAGGCTGACTGGCGGAGAAGTATGGCATTGGAGAGCCTTAGAGGAGCCGTGGTCAAGCCGCAGCCGTCACCAAACTGTGCCAAGAGTCAGACACCTCCTCTGCCTGTTTGGCCCAAGGCCTGGCATATGCAGAAACGTTGAGGGTCGCGGGCGCTTCAGCAAACTGCAGTATGAGCCCATGACGCGTTGGCTTCGTGGTTTCCCAGAACAACGAGCTTGGTCTTGTGCCGGAGCAGTTCTTCTGCGACTCCTGTCGGCCTCTGCCTTTCCAAGCTGAGAATGCAGCGGCTGATCCGCTAGCCCTTGGCAGTGGATGAGGGAGAAGCTTCTGTTGTGGTGATTTTTCCGGAGAGGTGTTACATTCGCACCACCTCTGCAACCACTTACGCTCGAAGAACTGGAGACCATGGACTGCTCCTGGACCCTGATGCCGAACCGAGTCTTGAACATTCGTTGAAGTCGTGCGCCTGGTCCTCTCGCCCGTATTGGGTGAAATCGCCGGCGTGGACTAAGACCTGAGCCAACCGATCTTCGTCTTCTGGCCCTCCTGAACCCTTGTTTGGGGTTTCGGGTTTAGGGTTTAAGGTTCTTTTCGGGTTTAGAACGCCTTTTATTTTGACTTTGATGGCAACCCTTGCAGTAATGCCTATGGCTCTTGGCCGTCCCAGCAGAGCAGGCACAGGGCACCGGGAGACTGGGACACTGGGACAGCTGCATCCCCATCTGGCAGGGTCAGCTGTCGGTGTGAGCCGTGGGTGTCGCTGATGCAGACTAGACGAAGCCCCCTGAGCATCACAAATCGTTGACATCGATTCACCTTCAGAAACTAGTGTATGCCTGTCCTCTTCTGGGCAGCTGTCTGTTCAACACGCTGGCATCCCAGCGCCTCGTCACCACAACTCACCATTTTCTTCGGATGACGAGCGTCTTCTTTTGCAGAAATAACCTCAAATGCCGAGCGGTACCTCGTCTTGCACCAAGTTCAAGCACTGCGGCCTGCACTACTCTGAGATCAACAGCATCCAACCATCGTGGAGTCAACGACATGACTGGACCTGCCCGGACCGCGACGGCGACGGCCTGCATCCGCGCAATCTGCAAGTCGAGGTGGTGGCGGTCACGACAGCGGAGTTGGCGGCGGCGGTGGTGGTTGCAGCTAGTGGTGGCGGTGGGAGTGGTTGCGCTGGCGGAGCCATCACAGCAACAGGAGTAGTGAGAGTAGTACAGTAGAGCAGCAGCAGGAGGAGGAGTAGTAGCTGCATTTGCTGCAACGGTCATCGCAGAGAGCTTCGGGGTCTGAGTTCCCAACACCACTCCATCACCGCAATGATGGCCATTGCAAGCACTATTGCGAGAGTACTCTCCCAAGCCTGACATGGCTGACACAGTTCGCGGCACAAGTGGACGTTGGTTGTCACATGCTCTGAAATGATTTGGACACAGGCTGCTAGCATGAGTGAGATCTATACAACAAAAACCCTGCAACCGTTGGAGACCAAAGGAAAAGATCTTGCACCCTCTGCCGGCTTATGGAACTGGAAACAGGCTAAGAGACGGAAACTTGCAAGGGACAGTTCGAAGTCCACCTGTCTAACAGATTGCAACACATATCGACATTCCGCTCGGGCTACATGGCAAGGCATGAAGCCATTGCAATCAAGGTTGGAACCTTGTTGTGCTTTCGGGGGCTCGGCCGTGCTAGCGCTGCAGCTAAAACAATCCTCAGCCATTTACACATCAATTGTAAACTACAGAACGGCCTCCATTCTGCCGGGAAGGGCAGCACGCAGCTGGCGACGTGGTGCATATCAGGTCTCACAAGTTTAGAGTTAGGTTGCGTGACTTTTCTATACTTTTTCTGCTACCACAAGATGTGCTCGTACTTGCGTCATCAGCTGAGCTCTGTTTTCTCGTCCACGAGCGATTGTGATCGTGTCTTCTGTTTGTCTCTCGAATTGGGCAATGTGACATGGGGCTGCGTGCATGTTCGTGAGAGTGATTGGGCCAGCGAAAGCTTTCAGGACTTGCGTGCACACTTCCACTTCCGTGCCTTCTCCTTGGCTGTACCTCCCTTCTGCTTGGGCTTGCGCCAGGAGTCGTTATTGTCAGCCTTTCGCAAGCCCACGAGCCACAACCATGCCCCACCATGATCTCAGAAGCTAGCACCTCCGGTCGTGTGCGATAGCGCCTCACAACTCAGCGGAAATGCGCACAGCGTCCATCAGCATCTAAGGTGATCAGCTACGTGGACCTGAGAACGCCATTTCCCATGATGTCATGGGGTCGAGCCCCCCAGGCAAGGTCACAGCATGCCCAGGTCGCAACCTGCACTCCTTGTTCTTATTGTTGCCATTCTTAGTGTTTTTTTGTCCTCCTCCAAACTTAGCCCCTGCGAACTGCTGACGAGTCTTCGGTACTAAGTACCGCATCAGTTTCTGTTGGAATCATGCGTGTCCAGCAAAAGAGACAGTCACGCAAAAAAGCTGACTGAATGTTTGCAAACATGCGCTGACAAACAAAAGAAATGTCCATGCTAGCAAGCAATGGCTGCGACAAGCAGGAAGCTCGGCAGACCGAACGACAAGAGCTCCACCTCTAAAGTGGCTCGAAAGTCTGCGCTCGCAGACGCTATGACCATGCAATGTGACACACCTGGATGAGGAAATGCGGATCCACAGGCATGGAAGAGATTGCGCGAGAATCTTTGCTCGCAGTCGGATCAGAAGCAAAGATGCATTGGGGAGATCCCAAATTAAAGAACAGTCGGCGAGCCTGAGGCCGGCTTTGGCACCTTCAGCCCCTTCGAAGAGACGTGATCTTGAGGCAACTCAGGCTACTTTTTCACGATTCTCCATCTGTGAGATCACCCTGTTGTCACTTTCGGGGCAAGTCCCAGATCGGCCGATCGGCCCCTGGTGAAGCCCAGCAGCCCAGTGACTTCAGAGACCGACGAGGTTCATCCGGCCCATGCTTGGCGAGTGCTGTCATCTGTCAGTCGGCTGATGCGACCAGTTCTTCGCGAAGAGCACAATGCCCCAGCACGAAGGCTGAGGAGCCTCTGGATTATGCTGGGCGCTGGCTCATCACAAGAATTGCACCTCCTTCGTGACCTCTGACGATGCTCCGGAGCCTGAGCACAGTTTCCAGCTTGGCCTGCTCATGTCCACAGAAACAGCATGCAACCGCCCCAATGGTCACAGTGCAGCTTGGGTGTCCGGTCGAGCGGTGGTCCATCCACCGGCCAAGCTTCCCGCACGGAGCAGTAGGAGCATCCTTACATGAGAAAATTCTTGGATTTCGCGGCAGCTTTCCGATTGAAATCGACCCAGGCTCGATCTGATCGGCACGCGGTTTCTATGATCATGTGCCTCGGGCAAGCAGGAAAAAGAGGGAAGAGCAGGCACTCCTTGTAACTGTATATGGAACTACTGTCAAGCTCATGCGCTGAAGCCGAGTTGCTCGGCAGTGCTGGGGACTAGTCCGTGAGCGTCCAGCTGCTCCAGAAACCTACAGCCTTCGGTCACAGGCACCGGTGCTTCATGGGATTCACAAAACGACTGACACTGAGTGCACGGCTCATATCTGCATCTCGAATGGCAAGGGAGACGGCCCAGCAACCTCCTCGCACCAGTGTAATCGCAGAAGCAACTCACAACTCTGAATCGGGCAGCAGCCACGGTTTTGATTTATGCCAGAATGCGGAATGTCATGCTGAGCAACGTCCTGGCTTCAACCAACGCTGCATAACTTTTGGCAGGAGTACTGCATGGTGTTCTTCATACACGACCTTACCAGTTTTAGCCCCGACTCGATGACCACACTGTGCGCTTTTGCTCTGCAACTAAGTCACATCGCTTGCCAGCGCCAGGTCGAAGCTGTTCAACTGCTCTTTCTCCAAGCACTCCCAGTCAGAGCTGGCTGACGAAGCCACATTTTCCGGTGAGCCCAAGTCAACCGAACACGAGAGGTGGGCACCAACGTCGGAGATCCAATCAAGAAAGCGGACCCGAAGAGGTGCACTCTTCGGGAACTTGGTCCTCAACTTAGCGGTGTGTGCTGCCAAGTTCTTGAGATGACCCGGTAGGCAATCGGTGAGTGTTGTGTCATATCCAAGGGCGTGTGCGGCCAGCCCTGCCAGGCCAACACCGCATCCGAACTCGATAGCCTTCAGGGACCCTGCCTGAGCCGAGCACTCGGCGATGAGGCTACGGGGCTCGGCCACTTTGAGCGCCAACCATAGGGCAGAAGGTGAGAAGCGGCAACCTGTCCATCCTTCAGCCAGTCAGATCAGGAAATTGTGGACATCTGGAGGTGGCCAGAGACTACACCGTTGTTAACGAAAGACGAAAGCCACACGGTTGGTTGCCCTGTCCAGAGTCCAGAAGCTTTCCATGGTTTCGATGCTCTGGTTGTCTAGGAGTTCAGAGACTGTGCTTAGAGCCTCACCCACTCCTAGCACTCAGAGGATCTTGTTAGGGTCTACATGAGGGTGGCTCTTCCTGGAATTCCCAGAGGATTTCCGAACCTCGCAGCTTCTTGTGGTGGCCTTTTCCGACTGTCGATATTAATGTGTTCATGAACATTCATGAACAACATAGCGTCCCATAAATTCCTTGATGCGGGCTCTTCGTGTGATCCTGAAGACTTTTCAAGCGGTTTCGCGCCAAAAATCAACACGATCCAAAAGACTCATGGGCATCTCACTCAAAGTTTACGTCTACGTGTTCTTGTTTCGGCATCTCCCCGCCTTCTGCCATGCTTGTCTCCTGTACCTCGACGACGGGACCCGCAGGCGCGATCTCCACCGAGACCGCGAGACATTCGCCCCCTTCTCGACCGGCCTTCTTGCTGCAAAGCAGTCGCATGCGAGAAGGACTGGCAAAGCAGCGTTTCATGAAGGTGGACGCACTTTCGTGCGACACATGGCGAGATGCCATGGCGGCATTTAGCGTTCAGACAATGCAAGAACATGGTCATGCTGTTGCTTCAGAGCTTGCAGTGTACGGGACTAGTTGGACTAGCCCGGTGCCAAACAGTAACTTGCGCTTGCTCATTCAGACGACTTGGCTTCCGTCGACCACACACACACACAAGAAGTCTCGGCACACGGCACACGCACCAGAGCCATGGTGGGCTTGTTTCCGGACGGAATCAACTCTGAGTGCTCGCGCTGCAGAGCATTCCCTCGACAGGCCGCCCACCCGTGGAATTTGGATTGCTGATGGTTTCTGCTTTCGGGAGTCTGCCTCTTGAGGGGTTCCGTGGGTGGAAGCTGGATTGCACGACGCCCCTGCGGGCTCCAGATTTGCCTGGACTTATGTCTCACTTACAAGTTCCTACAAGCCACATTGACATGTTTGTACAGCTCTGGCCAACAAGCTGCCAGTTACAGAGTTGGCAACGCTCCCAATTCAGGAGCAGAGGAAAATCATTGCGGCTTCTCAGGAACGGTGCGCTAGCATTGCACCCCGGTCAGACATGCGCCAGATAGTCTGGATCTTTAATACGCACCTGGCTATCTGTCGCATGTGGTCGCATCACCCCTTTTCTGAAAAAGGTTGCGACCCTGGGGCAAGGTGAAACGCATGAGCCACTTCCACAAACTGCGACAAACGAACAATGATGACAGAACTTGACTTTTCAGGGCTTCCCGAAACGAGTTTTTGAGCATCATTCTCAAGAGTGTCGGAGTTGGCTCAGCGAGCTGAATCGTTTTCCGGGCCTTCAGGCATCGGTTCTCGGAGGTACGAAGTGCGACTCTCCGGTGTCCTGAGCGGCCAAAGACGAACAACCAGGAGAGGACTCAAGAGCGAGATCAAAGCCTCGATGCCTACACGCAGTGCTACTGCCCTTTGTCTATCTATGTGTAAAATGCTCAGAGCGACAAACAGCACTCGAATCAGGGAGAGACTTGTCGTCTTCACCGTTGCCGTTTTCCGCACAGCACGTTCCAAAACGAACGGAATGCAAATTCGGGACAGCAATAGGGCAGGCTATGCAGGCTTTTCAAGCGGCAGTCTAAAGCACTGTCTGAAAGGCACAGGTATGCAGATCACGGGTCATTGTCCGAGTTGAGTCTCCCACTCGTCTGGACCATTTTCAATCTCCTGCTGCTGCGCTGCAGAGTCCTGACATGAGGCCCCCAAGGCCCCCTCCTCTCCACATTGCTACGTGTGGCCGCTTTCCGTTGCTTTCCGGTGTCCTCAGACAGAGCAGCTGCTGCCTTGGTCACCGTGAAACGAGGCCCGTGCTTTCAGCTTTCCATCCCCGGCCTGCGGCTGCGCAGGTGCAGCTGCCCCGGCCGCGGCGTCCGCAGCGGTAGCCTGATGCCACAACGTTTACGGACGTTTACGGGCTCGTGGTCGACTTCTGTGTCAGCGGCGGCTTCGGGAGCTGACGAACCGGGCAAGGCGCCTCGCCAGACACGAATGAGCCTCGTTCAGAAACCCTGCCGCCATCTGCCTCGGCTTTGATCTCGTGTATCTCGGGATTTGCCCCGAGAGGTGGGAAAGTACACCTCGGCTTGAAGCTTCACGGGAGCATTGGGGAGCACATTGAAGTCACCTCGGGAGAGTCTCAGCCAGGCACTCGGGCACTGCAGCCTCCGGGCTGCGCGGCTCTGTCGGGCGCGGGGGCAACTGGTGAGCTTGGAGGGCCTCTGAGGCTGTCAGCATCGGGTCATTACAGTTTTGTCTTCCTGTCTGCTCTTGCTCTCACGTTGACTGAGGCCATGTCTCCGACGTTCAATCAGGGCCTCAAGTGGCAAAGCTGACAGGACAGATCTGTGTGGACAGGCCTGGGAGCCGAGTCCCACGCGATCTCTTCGTCTGTGAAGCCTTGAGCTCGGAAAGCGCTGTCAGAACGGCAGCGATTGCTTGGAAGCACAGCCTCCAGATCCACAAGAGTCTGTGAGATTACTCAAGATTATGATTCTAGATGTCCTCGCCTTCGCAGGCGGACTTGGGGGTGGAGTTGGCCTCGGTGCCGGCCGTGCCTCGACAGAAGTATCAAGGAAGCTCGATTTTGGGGGGGGGTTCTGACAGGTTCGGGCCTTGTCCAAGACCCTCGGCATCTGCGTCTGGGCTTGTGCCGCGCTGGCTTCTGCTGCTGCTGGAGTGCTTTCTGTTGCATCGGTAGCTTCGTCTTGCTTCATCCCCTGTCTTTCCACTTTGCTGGCGTCCAATCTTCTCGTGGCTGTCACTATTCCCATGTCGTAGACCACCTCCCAGGACTCATTTCCTGAGCACCATAGATGGAGGCCATCCTTGTGACCACCAGCATACTCTCCGGACTCTTTGGTACCATCTGCCCAGGTGTAGACACCATGCCCACATTTCTTATTGTTGGCATACATTCCCTCAAAGGTGTCCCCGTTTTGAAAATGAATGGCCCCTTTGCCATGCGCACTGCCTTGCAGCCACTGCCCTTCAAAGACGCCGCCATTGAAGAACAAGGTTCCGTAACCTTCTCTTTTGCTCCCACACCACTGGCCTGTGTAGGTTGTTCCATCCATCTGCATCACTCCATAGCCGCTTCTCTGTCCTTGCCCGTCACGGAATCCCACATAGACTCGCCCTTCCTTCTCCTCTGCAGTCTTGGACATGCCCCATTGGCTGCAGGCTTGCTGGTCGGTCGGCTGTGGGAGCGCAGCCACTTTGTCGAGCGCAGCCACTTTGTCTGCGAAGCCTGCCTGACCTGCAGGTGTGGATGAGGTTGTGTTCTTTGCCGGCTGCGCGCCAGGCAAGTAGGAGGCAAGGCCCTTCTTCGGGGGTGTCTGTGACCTTGGTGCCACAGGCACTGCAGGCTTCCTTGGTAGGCGTTGGGAGGCTGGGGACGGATCTCTCGGCTGGACAGACGGGCTCTGAAACCTGCTCTCAACTTTACGCCGACTCTCGTCCGTCTTTGTCTTTGCCTTTGGCTGGACCTGTCCATTGACTTGTCTGCTTGCGGGGTTCCTTGGGCTGACCGGCTTCGCACCAGCCGGTCTCGCCGCAGATTTCTCTCGTGGGGAAGGCTTCTGCGGGCTACGCGGGCTGCGCTGCACACCAAAGGGGCTGGCCGATCGCTCGCCGCCTCTGCGGGCCTCTTTGGGCCCAAGCTTGCCGTTGCTGGCGTTGCTGAAGTGGAGTGTCTGGCTCCTGGATGTCTGCACTGCGAGCCGTGCGATGGGCTCTACAAACACAGGCATTTCTGGTGGGCTTCTGCTTGCGATTCGCGGTCCGCTGGCGCTTCCAGTGCCCCTGGAAAGTCCGGTGTTGACTGGACGGTACGACGACTGGGCCACTCCATCACGCTTTGAGCATGGGATCTCGCCCTTGTGTTGCTTTGCGGAAGGAGAGATCTGCTTGGGTGAATCTGATCTCGAAGCGCTTCTCACCATGTCCCTAACAGGACTCTCACCTTTGCGGGGCGGAGCTCGCGCCCCGGCTGTTCGGCTCAGAGAGCTTGGAGGTGGAGTTCTGCCTCCGGTGGCTGCTTGCAACTCCTCTCTCTCTTTCAGCAGTCTGCGCTGCTGTTCGAGCTCTCTTGCTCGCGGATATGCAGGAGCTGCGGTGGACAAGGAGCGAGGGCTGCCGGAGCGTTGCGGAGCCGAGGCGCTGCAAAGCTCGTCGTGCGCATGTTGAACCGGCGCCGAGTGCTTCGGGGAGAGCTGCCTTGCACTCTGTGTTCTCGCGGCCGCCGGTTGGACTTGCTGTTTCGCGAAGGGGCCCTGCTGCACTCCGTGCTGAAGGAACTGCTCCGCGAGCGGGTATGATGTTGCTGAAGACAGTTGCTTTTCTTGCTCTGCTCGGGTGGGCCTCGCTTGCAGCCTATTCCTGGCCGAGGCCTGAGACTCGATCCGGGAGAGGTCCTTGCGGAACAGAAGCGCTCAGTCACAGCAACATCTGGAACTCTCCACCATGAAGACTGACACGCAACCGAGCATCACTCTGAGTTTCTGAAGAAATCTGCGGAGCTTGTGAAGGCCTCAGTGTGATCGTGAATGCTTCGACGAATGCAACAGCAACTCGACCACAACAGAACCAGAAACAGCACACAGGCCCTTATACATTGACATACTGCAGGCAATTCTTCTTTCAGGCGTGTCACGTGACGCGGCTGGATGTGGAACGCGAGAGCAACATCTCTTGCTCTTGCTGAAGTAGAAGCATCTGCTGCTGCAGTCGACTCGCAGAAGAGATGTGTCGAGGCACATTCATCTGCGGTGGGGGTTGTGGTGGTGGTGATGTTTGTACTTGCAGTTGCGATTGCAGCCGTGGTTGTGGCTGATTATGTGGCCGCATCGGTTGTTGTGGATGTGGTTGTGGTGGTGGTTGTTGATGTGGTTGCGGTGGTTGTTGACATTGTTGTTGATGTTGTTGCTGCTGTTGTTGCTGTTGCTGTTGCTGTAGCTGTTGTCCCTGTCGCTGCTGCTGTCGCTGCTGGACCGGTATTGTTGCCAGGTAATGGTCCAGTTGGCCGTCGCCGAACTCTTGTCCGGGGAAGCTGAACAAATCACGACGACTTGTGCCGACATGTGGGGCGACATCTGGTGGATACTGGTCAGCTGGTCCGTGATACAGGAAGCTTCTTTCAGCTGCACTCTGCTGAACCTTGGCTCCATGAAAACAAAACAACGTGGCTGACAGATACCAAGGACATATCCCTCCATCCGCAGAATGAAGACTGCACACTCCGAGACCGCACGATCAGCCCTTCATGTGCCGGGAAGCACCAGGTGCTGGATCGCTGTATCCGCCCATAGCCGGTGGAGGTCGAGGTCCAGACCTGCAAGGAGCGCTTTAGGAGGCGGCTGCCCTACTTTCCAGATCTTTCTAGGCCTTCCAGGATAACTTGGCCAGGGAGTGTCTCGTGGGTCCCGCTCGCCGCCATGCTGCCACGCGATCGAGGAGGCATCCCTGGCCTTTGCATGAAAAGAAGACAACGACTAGGCTGT